AAAAAAAAAAAAAAAAAAGATACTTGTATACCCATGTTCATAGCAGTATTATTCATATTAGCCAAAAGGTGGAAGCAACTCAAGTTTTTATTGATGGATGAGTGAATGTGGTATATACATACAATGGAATATTATTCAGCCTTAAAAAGGAAGGAAATTCTGATATATTCTCAACATGGATGACCTTAAATTAAGCTAAGTGAAACAAGTCATTCACAAAAGGACAATATTCTATGATTCTACTTATATAAAGTAGTAAGAATAGTCAAATTTACAAAGGCAAAAAATAGAATGGTGGTTATCAGGGACTGGGAGGAATGGGGAAGGGTAAGTTAGTGCTTAATAGGCATACAGTTTTAATTGGGAAAGATGAAAAAGTTTGGAGATAGATGTTGGTGATGGTTGTACAACATTAATGTATTTAATAGCACAGAATTGTTCACTTAAAAATTGTTAAAATGGTAAATTTTATGTTATATATATCTAACCATTGTTACAGACTGAATTGTGCCCCCCCAAATTCATATGTGGAACCCCTAATCCCCACTATGACTGTATTTGGAGATAGGGCCTTTAAGGAGGTAAAGGTGAAATGAGGTCATAAGGGTGAGCCCTAATCCAATAGTACTGGTGTCCTTATAGGAAGAGGAAGAGATCCCAGGAGTGCCTGTGCACAGAGGAAAGGCCATGTGAGGACACAGCGAGATGGTGGCCATCTGCAAGCCAAGAAGAGAGGTCTTACCAGAAACCAACCCTGCTGGCATGGCCATCTTGGATTTCCTGCCTCCAGAACTTTGAGAAAACAAATTTCTGTTGTTTAAGCCATCCAGCCTGGGATATTCTGCTATGGCAGCCTGAGCAGACTAATACAACTACAATTAAAAAAAAAAAAAAAGTGAAAAAAATTCACCAATGATTTTTTTCATAGCAAAAATAATGTATGAATATGAAAAAATTCAAACCATACAAAAAGGTAAAAAATCATAGTGTCTCCTCTTCCCCCAGGAGTAACCAATGTCAATAGTTTTAGGACTATCTTTCAGAATGCTTTTATGAATATATAAAGCATATGTATTTATATTTACAAATACTTTCTTCTTCTGAAGCAAGAATCAAAGTAGGGTCCAGTTCAGAAAGGGAAGATATCTTCAAGTTTGTTAATCCCTGAAACATAATTTAACATTCATCCATTCCATTACCATTGTACATTTAGATTATTTCTAGATTTTTTCTCCATCATATAAAATGTGATTAACTTTCTTATAATCTATTTTAAATTATTTCTATCCACAAGTTTTTCAGATTTTTATAATTAACATTTATAATCTTAATTTATTTAAGGTAAGTTCCTAACAGTGAAATTGGGTCAATGGATGTGATATTTTTATGGAACTTGATATATATTGCCAAATTGATTTCCAAACAGCTACCTGCCAACTTACATTTCTACCAGCAGTGCTAACAGAACCAATATTCAACACTCCTATTTAAAAATATCTCCCTAAGGTAGTAGTTGAAAAAGGAAATCTTGCTTTAATTTGCATTTTTTGATTACTAATGAGATTGAAGATTTTTCACATATTTATTAGTCATTTGTATTTCCTTTTTGTGTGTAAACCATCTGTTCATACTCTATACCTATACATGTATTGGAAGCTTTAATATCTTCCTTATTGATTTGTATGAGTCCTTCATATATTATGGTATTACTCCTTTATCAATATTTATTCCAAATATTTTCCATTTGGTGTTTGTCTTTTAATTTTGTGTCCAGTCAACAAATATTTATTCAGTATCTACTATGTTCTAGGTACTGTGATAGGAATTCTACGTTATTCTTTAAATTGCTTTACATACAGAATTACACACACACTTTTTTGTTCCTCCATTGTTTAAAGTTTAGAAAGGTTGAACTTAAAGATCGGGGCAAAAAACCAAATAAGATCCCATATCACTGTCTGGGTCAGAGCTGGCCCTTTCTATTTCTCATGATATTGCAAGCAGATGTTGGGCAGGAATAATCATCCAACATTTGACTGGGATTGCAAGATCAGCCCAAGCAAGGTAGTTCACTCATACAGCTGGCAAGTTGGTGGGTTGTGGAGGCTTTTGTTCCTCTCCACATGGGCCTCTTCGTCGGGATGTTTGAGCAGCATGGCGTGGACACTAGCTTTCCCAAAAACAAGCAATCCAAGATAATGAGGTGGAAAGCTGCAATCAGTGCCTTTATGACCTAGCCTCCAAAGTCACACACCTTCTGTCAAACACAATAGCCCTGATTCAAAGGGCTGGGGGAGATTACATTTCCAGAGGTGAGAATCATTGGGGGTTATCTTGGAAGCTAGCTACCAAGGATTCTAACGTGTTGACTTTCCTACAATTTACTTTATAAAGCAAGTACTAATAAGTTTGCAACAACCAGTACAAGTCTAGTTTTTACCATACTGTTCTCTTAAAGACAGCTGTGTTCTCAAACACCTATGTGCACATGGGTGCCCCCAAGCATACAAAAATTTCTGTTCCACAACTTTAAGTTCCACAATTAAAGACCGTCTGCTACAGGGTCAGCCCGTGAACTTCATTAGTGCACTAGATTTCCACCTCAAGCTCTCTGAATTTGAGTAAATACAGTTCAAGAGTGCAGATTAAGCGCCAAGAAGCTTGACTTGTATCTGATGTAATCTCTGTTAATTAACTAGGACACTTTTGAGTTTTACCAGAAACCTTTAATTTTCTAGAAACCTTCACCTGTGTTCAATATCCACTTTAATTAAAAAGCTCTTGCAGATTATACTAATTTGCTGAAGGTGACTCAGCCAGTTGAGGTAATAAGTCTACCCAAATAGCTGAGGTAGAAGTCCAGGTTAGGTGAAAAGGTCACCAAGCCAGAGTAAGAAAGATAGTTTCTTACAGCTAACTTTCACCTCTCCTGTAGGATAGGCAAAGAGGCACCTTTGTGAAATCTGTTTGGAACTCACACTTTTATTTTACCACTGGTCCCACTTTCATTAAAGTTTGTCAATTCATGAACCTAAGAAAATAGAGTAGCCCTCAATTTTGCCAAATTGGGAAATTTCCCGGGCCCCAAAAGTTTAGCAAGGAGAATAGGGAGGCCAGAATGGGAGACGACGAAGCACCAACTTAATCTAAAAAGAAGTCTGGTTCTTACCCCACAAACAGTATCCTTATTGCAGCCCCCAAAGTCAAAGTAGGCAGCCTGGGCTGGCTGCCTTAACTTTCCCCTCCCGCTCCCTACTATCTCCCGACCAAGTCATCTTTGGTGATACATTCCCTTTAACACTCCTCTTGAGCTTAATTTTAGCCAGCTTTCCGAGTGCAAAAATGTCACGGAGGGTAAAGAGGATGAAAAACTGCCACATTTGACGCACTTTTGTAGACAAGACTAAATCCCTGAGCTCCAATTTTCACCTGGGCCTGAGTGATCAAAAACACAATCTCTAGAGGTACTCTGCCTCAGCGGACGTCAAGTTGCGCCCACCTCTACCTCTATCCCCGCTATTCCAAACACGCCGGTCGAGGAAAGCCATCAGCTTAGGCCAAGGGAGGCACACAGCAGAAGGCACTGCCCACCACAGACGAAACAGAGGCTACGTGTGCCAGTTCAACAGACGCGGATGCCAGCTCTCCAGCTCACCGCGATCCCTCCCACCCCTCCCAACCGGAACTGCAACCCTCACGCTCCGCGCCCCCACGAAGAGCGTGACGCTCACGCCCGCCCCGCCTCACCGGACGCACTGGGCAGGCGCGGGGCCCGCGCATGCTCGGCGGGCGGGCCGCTGGGGTATCCAGCCGCTGCTATCTGTTGCGCCGCCGCCCGCCGGAGCCGGCAGATCCGGGTCTATTGCTACGAGTGACGTGGTCAATCGAGTCAAAACAGAGGAGGGGAGGAAGCCGGCGGCTAGGAGCAGCGGCGGCAGCGGCGGCCCGAGCAGCCGCAGGGTTCCGGAAGCTCCAGGCGGTCTTTCTGCCGAGCCTTGGTCCCGGCCCCCATCCTCCCCGCCCCGTCGGTTGTTGTCTGGGCGGGTGAGTGTCTCCCCCTCTCCCACCGCCGTTTGCCGGCCCACCTTCCCCTCACCCCGGTTTTTCCTGGGGGTTCCTCAGGCTCCCGGAGACTGCGGCGGCTGCGGCAGAGCGGGGCTGCTTCTCGGGCTCGGTGGTTCCCCGGCCGGGCTGGCGCCTCTGCACCGGGAGAAGCCCGCTGCTGCCGAGCCGGCGCCCCCCGGCGAAGAGCGAGGCAGAGCGCCTGCAATTTGACTTTCTCTGCAGGAAACCAGAGTCGGGGCTTGGCAGGAAAGTGGACGGTAGCCACGGGTGGTTTTATTTTTAGGGCAAGACAGTCATCAACTCGGGTGGAGGCGTATAATGGAGTAAGAGAAGAGAGAGTCGTAGCTGGAAGGAAACCTCACAAGTCCTGAAATCCACCTTATATCATTTCTTTCTCAGCCCTTTCTGGGTTTGAGGAAGTCACTAGGATGCGTCCTTTGTTGTGATTGATGAGACAGGAAAGCTGCCATCCAGAAAGCGGGAGCTTTTTAGCCCTTATTGTGTTGCGAATTTAAAGGATTCCCTTTTTCTGTTTGTTCGGTAAGTGGAACCAGAGCTGACAGTAAAGAGGTAGCAGCCTTGATTGGAGCAGGGAATGTGCGGTAAACTGGTTACCGGAGTACCTGAAGACCCGTGTTGCCGTTTAAAGCCAAAGTTTTCCGAAGTGCCTGTTTCTGTGTGTGTTAGTATTTTAGCCAAGATGATGTTTGTTAGCTGTAGAGTTGGTGGGATGCTTTCAGTTGTCCCAGTTTGCAAAATCAAAGATGTGACCTTAATGGGAGAATGTCTTGGTTTTGCATCAGGACAGTCGGATGAGCTTCATGCACGTAATACCTGGGTGTGTTGAAGAGACCTTCCAGTTTTTTTGTGTGATTGTCAGAGACCGTTGGCAGCTGTGCATACAATAACTTGGTCGGCGTAAGACGTTTCAGGTGTTTTAGTCTTGAGACGCCTAAGAGGCGTTCTCACTGCCCAGTTCTGTGGAGGTTGCCGAAAGCTTGTGTTCCCTTCCACTTAGGTGACTGGCCACGCAGATTCCTGTAGTGTAGCCTCCTTCTAGCCCTGCCTCTCTCTGCCCCCATCGACAGCACGAAGGAGACCAGAAGACCAAACTTGCTTTTTGTTCTAACTTGGTTTTAAGAAAGAACTTTTTTCCCCAAAAAAACTCATTAATTGTGGTGTTTCTTTAGTAAACAGCAAGAAAGAAAAACAGAAGTATGTGCTAATTATTGCCCGTTATGAAATCCAGGAAGAGTTTTTATGAATTTAGACTACTCCCTTGAAGGGTATGTCCTTATGTGGTATGAAATAGACCTCTTAACAAATTTCTTCCTTCTGTGTGTGCAGTTGAGAGCTTTTTTTCTTAATACCGCAGTTGGAATCCTGTTAAGATAAACGAAATTGGTTTCTGGAAGTTCTTCTGTTTTTTTACATTTTATGTTAACCTATGACTGAATATTTTTGTTTGTATGAAATAATTTGTGATAATTGGTGAAAGTGTTGATTAAAGCAGATAAGCAAAAAAGAAAAGTCATAAATATTCCTGCCATCCAAAAATCACCAAAATCTTAGCAGTGGTTTATATCCTTCAAGACTACTTTTTTTGCATTTATATATTTTATATAAAAATGGTCTCATATTGCATATGCTTTTCTGTAACCTGCTCGTTTACATAGTAGTACTTGTTTTTTTGGTGAGGAAGATTAGCACTGAGCTAACATCTGTTGCCAAGCCTCGTCTTTTTGCTGAGGAGGATTGGCCCTGGGCTAACTTCCGTGCCTGTCTTCCTGTATTTTATATATGGGATGCCTGCCACAGGATGGCTTGATAAGCAGCGTGGAGGTCCATGCCAGAGATCCAAACCAGCGAACCCCGGGTGGCCAAAGCAGAGTGTGCGAACTTAACCACTATGCCACCCGGCCGCCCTCAGTACTTCTTTTTTTGAGTAACAAAATTTAAATTTTAGCAGATAAGGACTTTTTTCTTAAAATTTTATTTATTTATTTATTTATTTTCCCCCCAAAGCCCCAGTAGATAGTTGTATGTCATAGCTGCACATCCTTCTAGTTGCTGTATGTGGGACGCGGTCTCAGCGTAGCCGGAGAAGCGGTGCGTCGGTGCACGCCCGGGATCAGAACCCCGGGCAGCCAGCAGCTGAGCGTGCGCACTTAACCGCTAAGCCACGGGGCTGGCCCAGATAAGGACTTTTGGACCTTAATTTTTAGGGAATATTCACTGTATATTTTCCAAACTATAGTGATTAAACTTGTGGTTTTGAAAGATTTCCTCCCAAATCTCAATGATGAAATTGTAAGATTTAAGAAATTAATATGCATTGTGTGGCAAAGTAAGATTTTGCTTGTTTAACTCTTTTTTTTTTTCTGTGAGGAAGATTGGCCCTTAGCTAACATCTGCCAATCCTCCTCTTTTTTTTTGCTGAGGAAGACTGGCCCTGGGCTAACATCCATGCCCATCTTCCTCCACTTTATATGGGACGCTGCCACAGCATGGCTTGACAAGCGGTGCATCAGTGTGCGCCCGGGATCTGAACTGGCGAACCCGGGGCCGCTGCAGTGGAGCACGAGCACCTAACTGCTTGCGCCACCAGGCCGGCCCCATGCTTGTTTAACTCTTGGAAAAGCAGGCACAGAATAGTCTGGGTTGATAATATGGAAGTTTAAAAAATATTTGCTGATTCAGTGATTTGGTTCAGGAAATAGTTTAGTTCTATTCTATAGCTACACTATGCTCCAAATGCTGACGAGCTATCCAGGCCTCCGGTGGTAAGGTCCTAAAAGATTGTACTTTACGAATCATACTTAATGTGCTTTATTAACGTTGAGTCCTGAATGTGTGCCCATTTAGTTCAGTGCTGTGTTGGTCGTGCCAAAAGAGAGGGAAATGTCCCCTTCACCTCAACTTCAAAGGTTAAGTACCTCCTATGAAGTATCCCAAATATGCTAATAACCCACTTGGGCCCATTGGTCATAAAGTTACCTGAACCTGGGCCGGCCCTGTGGCTTAGCGGTTAAGTGCGCGTGCTCCGCTGCTGGCGGCCCGGGTTCGGATCCCGGGTGCGCACCGACGCACCGCTTCTCCGGCCATGCTGAGGCCACGTCCCACATCCATCAACTAGAAGGATGTGCAGCTATGACATACAACTATCTACTGGGGCTTTGGGGGGAAAGTAAATAAATAAATAAAATCTTAAAAAAAAAAAAAAAAAAGTTACCTGAACCTTTTAAATCTATTTTCATTCTCTTGAGTAATTAGCTCTAGATACTTACAACTCATTATGTGACTTAGTTCTTTTTCTTTGATTTGCCTTAAATTATAGTGTTCAATATATATTCTAGATTTGTCCACTTTTTCTCATCTCTAATGCCACCACCTTTATCAGCTATCACCTTGTCTCACCTGGTCTACAGCAGTAACCTCCTGATCTCCCTGCTTCCACTTTGACTTTTTAGGATGCATTCCCGTTATCACAGCCTAAGGCTCCCATCCCATTCAGAAGAAAATCCAGACTCCTTACTAGGCTTGCCAAGCACTGCATGTTTTGACACTGCCTTCCTCTCTCATCTGACCTTGTATCCCTCTGCCTAGATCAGTACCCCAGAGCCTGGCCACGTGTTTCTTCCTGTGTTCCGGCCCCACTAGCATCATCTCTGGAACTTGCCAGGCTTGCTCCTGCCTTAGGGTATTTGTACTTGCAGTACTGTGGCTTCAATACTCTTCTCCCAGATCTTACTGTGGCTGATTCCATCATGTCATTCAGGTCTCAGTTCAGATGTTGCCTCTTCAGGGAGATTGCCCCCCAGTTATTTCTCCATTCCCTTTTATTTTCTTCATAGCATTTATCACTATGTGGAATTTCTTTATTTTTTATATAGTCTGTTTCCTACCCTAGGAATTAAACTCTGAAAATTTGTCCTTTTCACTGTAGGTACTCAGGGAATGTTGGTTGAATGAATGAACTTGGTGAACACATATTCCTCTTGAATGTACCATTTTAGACCAGTTCTTTCTGTGGAAGAACCCTAGTTTTCAGCTTCTTTTTATAGGACAATGCCTTGATTCTCTTACTTCAATAATTCTTGATGTTTGGGCCAGAGAAAGGCCACATTCTACTTTAGACCTAAAGAATTAATCCCTGGGAGAAATGGGTCCCAGGAATCTGCATTTTCAGTAAGCCATCAGGTGATTTTAATGCACATCAAAGTTTGAGAGTGTCTCAATATTTTAATGGCTTTTCTCTGGGAGATTACTTGATTCTTGCTTTATAGTAGTAATGATAGCTACCATTTTGGGGAACACTCTGTGTATCAGGTACTATGTTAAAAACTGTTACATGTTTTTCATTTAACTGTAGAGCAGCTCAGATGTAGGTATTCCTACTCCCATTTTACAAATGAAGGAACTGAGAAGTAGTAAGTGGCAGAAAGTTGGATTTGAACTCAAGTCTGTTTTCTTAATCACTGTACCCTCCTCCCTCTGAACTACAGTGTTCAGAATTGTACACAGTACTTTGGTTTTGATAGGCCATATTTTCTTAAAGGCAAGATAGTGTTTTCTGTCCCATTTCCAATCCTGTCCTTAATGAAGTCCATTGTTTTGCTGGGCTTTTTGCCTGAAGTTGCACAGCTGGGAGATGACCTCCAGAAACATTCCTCAAAGACTTCTAGGTCTTGTTGCTTTGTTGTATCGAGTGCTCAGAGCCTACCAGGCTTAAAGTAAATTAGGAGTATTTTCTCCCTCCTGTACCTTACTTTGCATTCCACACACCAAAAACCCATCTCTTGCTTTCTGCCTGCTTGTACCGTCATTTAAATTCTTCCTACAGTTTCTCCATTGATATGAGTGTTTTACTATTTGGACTACTGTTGGATCATCATAAACTGAATAGGTTTCTCACTGCAAGACTCTTTTACAGATCAGTAAAAAAAAAATGTTGAATTTAATTGATGCATCAATTTTGG